CGACCCTCCGCAGGTTTTGAATTCAGAGTTGACCTTCTCCTAGACCAGTTGCCATCCAAGACTATAGAACCCAGTCTGTGCTGCTATTTTACCCATAGCTGGAGGGAGAAGAAGAGGATTCATACCTTTCCCAAGGGTATAAGGTATATATATATATATATATATATATATATATATATATATATATATATATATCAGTCAATTTCTATCCTGGCTTGAAGCAATCGGATGTCTATACACTGATGACCAGTGTTACAGTGAAACAGTGTGTGTCAGGATGACAATATATACGCACCTGAAAAACTTAAATTGGGTTGTGCACTCTTGGGAGATAATTGCAAATTTGTAAACAATGACTATTACTACTAATAATACAAGGCTCTTCCCCTTCCCTGAATTGAGCACTGTCAATCATTGGCGTGTTTATTCACAAAATAAGCACGTAAAAATACGCCCCTTTTTTAACCCGTGCGCCGATAGCTTAGAAGAAAAATATCCGACTGTTGCTGAATCAGTCGGGTTTCGATCCTAGCTTGAAGTAATGTCTAACCACACTAATGAGCTGTGATACAGTGAAATAGTCTGTCTGTGGATGACTATACATATATATTCATTTTCATCAGTGTCCTTCCTGATAACATCAGATTTCTATGCTGATGACACGCCCATTTACTACTGTCTCGATAGTTATTTTGATCAGGTCAAATTAGCAGCTGATCTAAGAAAAATGACCTGCAGTCCGTTGTTAACTGGAGCAAGGAATAGCTTGTCAATGTTAACGTCTCCAAAATGAAACGTCTCTTTCCTGAAAGATCCCTTGCTTCCTCCCATAAGGGGAAAGATTATATTTAATCAACTGCTATGCATGCTGTCCACTGTGTCGTGTTAGAACATTTTTCTCTTTGGAATTTAAGTTATATATAAATAGGTCTACCATTCGTCATTAGTTTGAATATTGATGCCACTTATGGTCCGGTGCTCCTGCTATGTATTTAGAAATTCTTGATAAAATCCAAAGAATAATCCGCAATTTTACTGATCTTGACCTGGCATCTTGGCTTCAGCCACTTTCCTATCGTCACAATGTAACTTCGGATGTATTCGGAAAAACTCTTTGCTGCATAGACTATATGAATTTAAGCGTACATGACTGAGAAAACCATTGAACAGATAAAAAATCGCTCCAGATTGCTAGATTAAGATTTGAAGCGTTGTATCTTAGAAATGATTAAAGATATCTTACTGGAATTCTCCGAGATTCGTATGACACTATTAGACTCTACTTTAAACAATAAAAATATATTTAACTCTAAATTGAAATGATGAACCTTCTGATCCAGATTTCTTCCCTGTTCCCCTTTTTTTTAAATTATTCACCGTTCTCTTGATGGTTCTTCAATGGACTTTGAAGATGGAATCCAGAGTGTGAATGTCGGTACCATTACTGAAGGCCTGAATGATCTTTTTCCTCTCACCATTGCTCAGTTGGGAAGACATTGTGCGGCTGACACAATAAATTTTAATCTGTTTTCTTTCTAGCGAGAGAGTGCCGTTGTATTGGACGTGGGCGTGGGGCCGCACACCAAAAACTGGTAGAGAGTAAAGAACCAAGGACGACATTACATGAAATGTAACGCTAAAATGGACAGGCTCACGTAACGCTAAAATGGAAAGGCTCACGTAACGCTAAAATAAAAAGGCTCACGTAACTAATTTTATCATTTTGGCGCCAAATTATTACTTTATTAAAGATAAAGTTAGTTAAAGTTTTTTCCTCATTGAATAAAACCTGCGATCATCATGGTGTTTGGTATAAATACGAGATCTCGTTCTTGGTGTCACTACAATCATTTCCTTATTAATGTTTTGCTCAGGAAGAAGGAAAACTTGTCAAAAGTGAGAGTCGGGATTCTTTATTAATAAACTCCGTGTTGACGGCTTTTGCTATATAAATATGGATGAAATACTGCGGTTATCTTTGCTAGCCTTATTCTGGAACTGTCCCAGGCATAGATCATCCCTTTATGAAAAAGACTCAGATATCCATAAAAATATAAAAAATACCGGACACTGATATCGTTTTCAGTATGATAAATATCGAATATCTTTCTCTAGTTCCCCTGTGTCACAGCTGACGTTCGAGTTTATACGGAAGAGGCATAGATATCCGATAGTTCACCGGAATTTAAAAACAAAGCCAAACAGAAATTCCATTATATAAGAGAGTTCAAACCACTTAATTCTTTTATGTCATGTTCCTTCAGAGTTAAAGCGATTATGACACGCTAAAATGCCTTTTGTTATCCGTGAATTGCCATACCTCCTTAGGGAATATAGTGGAGTGGTTTCCTGTTACCTTTTCCACTGTTTGGAATTCTGAGTAGTCTATCCTGCCAGTTAATCCATACCTTGACGAGCAGAGAAAGATCGATTGATACCATTATCATATTGAGGACGGTCAAACGTAGCAACAGCTAAAATAAATTTCATATGTTACACGAAGAAAAAATAATGACATAATTAAGATTCTGATATTCAACACGACTTCAAACAAAAGGTTAGGAAGGAAACCTTCACCAATATTGGAAAGATCGATAACAGCTACTGGATTTAAGAAACGAATTTTCCTAAAAAAATTGATTTAAAAGGAAGATTTTATAAAATTCAACCAACAACTGCAATGGGTGCGCAATCAATGAATGACTAATGTTACAATTATCATTAGTGCGAAAGCGAGTGCAACTGACTAGGAATGACTTCCGGTTACCTTCTCCTCAGTTTGGAAATTAGAAATTTCTCTATCTTAGACTGGTTGCTAAATAAATCCACCTAGGACGAGAAGATATGGTTTCATGCCTTTCCCGAGGGTATTAGTGCGAAAGCGAGTGCAACTGACTAGGAATGTTTTCCGGTTACTTTTTCCTCAGTATAGAAATAAGAAATTTCCCTATCTTAGACTAGTTGCTAAATGAAGCCATGTCGGACGAGAAGATATGGTTTCATGCCTTTCTCAAGGGTATTAGTACGAAAGCGAGTGCAACTGACTAGGAATGGTTTCCGGTTACCTTCTCCTCAGTATGGAAATCAGAACTTTTCCAACCTTAGGCTTGCTGCCAGCTAAATCCATCTCTGATACAAGAAGGTATGGTTTCATGCCTCTCCCAAAGCGTATTTTAGAGCGATTGTAACTAGGAATGGTTTCCGGTTACCTTCTCCTAAGTTTTGAAATCAGACCTTTCCGGAACTTAAGCTTGTTGCCAGCTAAATCCAGCTCGGACGAGAAAATATGGTTTCATGCCTTTCTCAAGGGTATTAGTGCAAAAGCGAGTGCAACTGACCAGGAATGGTTTCCGGTTACCTTCTCCACAGTTTGGAAATCAGAAGTTTCCCTATTTTAGGCTGGTTGCTAAATAAATCCATCTCGGACGAGAAGAGATTCTCGACTCTCATGAACTGGAAGGATTATATTGACTGACCTGTATTCCTATGGAGCTTGTAGGCACGACCATGTAATCTACCATAAAACATCGCCCCTTTCTTCAAACTGGAGGGGTCACTTTATTTTCACCCCCAAAGGAATAAATTTTCACCAAACAGGCCGCTAGATTTATCTCTCTAGATAAACAGGTGGCTACTATATTAATTTAATTCTAGGGTAATCACGGAATTAGCATGCCAGAGTTGCGCTAACGATGCACTTATAATCTCTCTTTCCATCTCCCTTGTCGACAAATAACCATCAAAATATAAGAAGCATTGTTAAATTTTGAGGAGATTTTAAGAAATAAATTAAGTGGAAAGATTAGATTGAATCAATTGCTAGGCCTACTGCTAGGAAAGTTGGTCCATTGTGTCGAGCTAGTAAATTTTTCTTTCCTGAATCTGTCTTACGTATCTATAAGTCTACCATTCGTCCATGCTTTGAATATATACATTTATATTAATCTGTTTTAATAGTAAGTATTGATTGGTTCGATAATGACAAATTAGCAGCTAAAAGACCTATAATCTGTTGTTAACTGGGGCAAGAAATGACACTAAAACGAATCTGTTCATTTTAATCGTCTGAGAGAACCTTTTTTTTTTTTTTTGCCTTCCATCTGCATAGCTCATTGCGTCTTTCCGGGGTAACATTTAAAACTGATATGAAGTGGAAAGATTATATTGAATCAATTGCTAGATCTGCTGGTAGGAAAGTTGGTTCACTGTGTCATGCCAGACATTTTTCTCTCCAGAATCTATCTTACATATTTAAAAGTCTAACATTGCTCCATGCGTAGAATATTGTTGCTACTTATCGTCTGGTGCTCCTGTTATATATCTAAAGATCCTCGATAAAATCCAAAGAATAATCAGCAATATCTTTGGCCTTGATCTTGCATCTCGGCATCTCCAGAATCTATCTTACGTATCTATAAGTCTACCATCCTTTCTGATGACAATAGTTCTCTATGCTGACGACACAGCCAGTTATTCCTGTCTCGATAGTAAGACTGATTATTTCGTTGACGTCAAATGAGTAGCTGATCTAAAAAAATGACCTACAGTCTGTTGTTAAGAGGAGCAAGGAGCATCTTGTCATTTTTAACGTTTCCAAGACGCAACTTCTCTTCATTTATCCCCTGAAAGATCTTTTCCTTTCTCCCATGAAGTGGAAAGATTAGATTGAATCAATTGCTAGGGCTGCCGCTAGGAAAGTTGGTTCACTGTGTCGTACTAGACAATTTTTATCTCCAGAATCTATCTTACGTATGTTTCACAAACGTATTAGCGTGAAAGTAAACGCAACAGACTAGCACGTAATTTGAATACAGATTTCTTTTACTTCGAAAGTGGAAATTGCAGTTCGCCGGAATGGGTGGCCGGCGATTTGTGTTTCCCCCGGTTTTTTGAGATGATTCCGGGTTGAAGGGTCGGAGGACTTCAGTTGGACGTTGAATGTGCGTTTTGCGGGCCTCGCTATATCGTTAGCCATTGACCAAAGATTAGATGTTGCTTTTATGACTCTCTCTCTCTCTCTCTCTCTCTCTCTCTCTCTCTCTCTCTCTCTCTCTCTCAAAGACATCAACAAGGACAGCTTCATTAGAATTGTATTTACCAATTCTATTTTCTAAAAGGGAAATGAAAAAAAATGAAAGTATGTAGACAGTATACCGTGGGATATCTGGACTGAATTTTCATGATTTATTTAATTTTTGGATAAATAATTCATGAAGAAATCGGCAGATTTTTTCCCTACAGATCGTAAAAGATTTATTGCATTGCACTTTAAATTGTTAGCCTTTGTTTGTGAGGATTTTCATTTATGCCTTCAAGAAATGTAGAGTCAATACATTAAAAAGAAAAATGCACACGATAAAATAAACCAACAGGAAAACATTAAAAAATAAAAAATAAAATTCTATAGTCCTCGAACTATCTTAAAACTCCGAGTTCTGCCAATATTTGATTTTAACATCATCACAATAACAGTAGCACTCAAAGAAATCATTGTCTAGCGTTCCATTAGTATAATTATCTACAGCCTTAAAAGTACAGACTGCGATTGGTAAATTGTCGCCATTTTATATTTTAAATTTTTTTAATTTTTAATTTCTCTTTTTGTTTTTGATTTTGACAACTGCCCAATATAGTGGGGTCAGTAGGTCACCTTCTATAAGAAAAAGAGCAACATGACACAATTCACTCAGCTAGAAATTGGTAAACGGCATGCTTTACTGCTTGGCATTAGCGCTGGAAACTCCAATACGAACATTTCACAGTGTTTGGGTGTCAATCTGAGGAGCGTGCAGAGGGTTCGGAAAGAGTTGGATGAGTCTAATGGTGATTACGAAGATACGGCAGCTCGGAAAACTCTGATCGTTCTGACAAGAAAAGAATTCCAGAATTTGTTGGTGGGCGCCTCAGCTTCAATACAGAGGACCAAATGAAGTGCCTTGAGGAGGTACTGCTGCTCTGAATCACGAGGATGGCTGCTGGAAGAATCTGTCTGAAAACAGGACTCTGCACTATGCCACGTAAGCTAGAGAACCCAGTCAAATCTGTCAGACAATTTCTACGACCACATCACTCCTTACGTCTGGTCATCTACCCCCCCCCCTCCAGACTGCAACCCCCTTGATTAGTATGTGTAGGGCGTAGTTGAGAGAGAAACCAACAAATCTCTGTGTTACACCAAAGATGAACTGAAGCTGGGGATTATGGCAGCATTCACCAACTTAAACAAGGAGACCGCCCAGAAGAGTTGCAGGAGATTCCGAAGTGTCATTTTCGATTTTTGCGTAAATTAGATGACAATTTATTCATCGCGTCCTGTATAATGCCAATGCTATTATTTTATGACTAAATCCAGAAATTCCTAGTAAATAATGGGGGAAATTGTAAGTTTACTTTATCGCTCCAGAAAGTATTTAACAGGTGTCTACCAGTGCTCTATCCTTGGGACAATTTGTCATCAGTTCCCAATTTGATATCTAAACTGATGACCAAAATATTTACACCTGTCTTGATAGTAGGGCTGATCAGTTCGATACGATAAAAATAGCAGCCGATGCCCAAAACGACATTTCAGTCTATTGTTAACTGGGGCAAGGGATGGCTTGTTAATTTTAACGCCTCCAAAATGAAACTGCTGTCTATCATCAGCTTGAAAGACCCCTTCCTTCCATCAACATGGTTGATACTAACCTCCCGGAGAGTGGCTAAGATTCTCGGCTCGCATGAAGTGAAATGATTATATTGAATCAATTGCTAGGTGTGTTGCTAAGAAAGTTGGTTCTCTGTGTCGTGCCAGACAATTTATCTCCAGAATCTATCTTGCGTATCTATAGGTCTACCATCCTTCCTGATGACATAAGTTCTCTATGCTGATGACAGAGCAATTTATTCCTGCCTCGATAGTAAGTGTGATTAGTTCGATGACGGTCAAATTAGCAGCTGATCTAAATAAAAAAATTAAAAAAAATAAAAAAATGATCTACAGTCAGTTGTTAACAGGAGCAAGGAATAGCTTGTCAATTTTAATGTCTCCAAAACGAAACGTCTCTTTAATTATCCCCTGAAAGATCCCTTCCTTCCTTCCTCCCATGAAGTGGAAAGATTAGATTGAATCAATTGCTAGGACTGCAGCTAGGAAAGTTGGTTCACTATGTCGTGCAAGACAATTTTTCTCTCCAGAATCTATCTTACGTATCTATAAGCCTGCCGTTCGTTCATGCTTCGAATATTGCTGCCACATATGGTCCGGTGCTCCTGCTGTATATTTAGAGATTCTTGATACAATCCAAATGGAATCAGCAATATTACTGGTCTTGATCTTGCATCTTAGCTTCAATCACATTATCGTAATCTAACTTCTTCCTGCGTTTTCTATAAATACTTATATGATAATTATTCGAACGAACTCTTCGCTATGGTACGTAGACTTTTTGATTGGCGGCAATGTCTCGTCTATTCACAGTTGAATTGGCTAGATGTAACCATAAGTTCTATACTAACAGTTTCTTTTCTCACACTTCTCAATTGTGGAGCTCTCTTCCGGCTCCGTGCTTTCCAGTCAACTTTGACCTCCAAAAATTTAAATGCAATGTCAATCCTTATCTACAGTGTTTCTGATTACTCTTCCATTGTTCTCACTTCTTAATAATGTTTTCCTTATTATTTAACACTCAGTAATTCCCTTTGTCTTAGTGGCTTTATTGCCTTTCTTGGGGTGACGTTATTAAAAAAAACTCTTCCTGTCAAAGTTAAATCAGACCAAAAATAAAGTATTGCTGTCATATCTTGGCTGGAGCTGTCCAGTCTCTCTGTTCAGCCTTGGCAGATTTCAAAAAGTGTTTACTTAGACTTGTGGTTTTCCACCCTACATCTCCTTTCCCATAAACTAGAAGTTATTAGCTTCTTGTTACTCCAACGCTATTTTCATGACATGTGACGAGCTACATTCCTTAGTACCGTCAGTCTAGACCTTCATAGGTAAGACCCGTCATGACAGGCATAAGGTCTACATCCTCATTTCTTTCGTATTCCACCGGTAAGGAGGAAGTTTTCCTCGGAAAAATTCTGCCCCAGAATTATTAATTTGTGAGAGAGACTCCCGAGATGATGCTTCCTCGATCACTATAATATTTAACCTCTTCAAATCTAGGGTCAATCTTTAGCTGTCCTATATAATATGCACTTCTTACTTCATCCCGTTACTACGTTACAGCGAACTCATTTAACAACACTCTACCTTGGGTGGCTCTTTTGGCCTTTTATTGGGGGAACAGTAGTATTTTGAAATAAACCTGACAGAACTTTTCAGAACGCTACTTGGCCTATCATGAAAGTTTGATCTGCCACTTGCTAATTATTCAGTAAAATATCTTGTGGTGTTCAAACATCCGACGACATTAACTACAAGAAATCCCACATAAGTTTGTGAAGGAAAGCGAGAAGAAAGGACTAAGCACCAACTGCAAGAATACGGAATGCATGCTTGTCAGCAAAAGAGACACACAACATGCAAATTACAAAATGGAGATACCAAGAATAAGCAAGTGCAGCAATCTAGATATCTAGGAAGTATTGAGATTTCCTGTTAATTAGTTACTAAGAGGAATTCACCAAAGAGCTTAGTATAAATCTTATGGAACTCTCCAGCCATCCTGTTCATTCCACAGAGCCGGGAAGTTAGCAGTTTGCATACGTAACTATCTTCAGGGTCGAAACGTCGGTAGATTCTGAATATTTGTATTCAGAATGTGAACCTGTCAGATGCTTGTCAATAATAATAATAATAACAATTGTTATTAAAGACCACAAACAATTGTTATTAAAGACCACAAACAAAAACGGTACCTCCTTATTAATATGGCAGTCCCTGCTGACTGCAATGTATCTTTGAAGATATTCAAAAAGCTGTCAAAATACACCTTGAAATAGAAATCTCGAAAATGTGGCATATGGGAACATCAACAATCCCTGTTGTAGTTGGAGCCCTAGGACTCGTTGGAAAAGATTGCAGTAGACTAATTGAAGGGATTCCTGGAAGTCCATGCCTCAAGGAGATACAAAAATTGTTCTGACAAGTACAGCCCACACTTTACGAAAGGGCTTTATCTATGTAATTTTTTTTTTTTTTTGTCAGTGGAAAGTGTCATGATGCCATTTCTAATCTTAGGTCCCTGGGCGGGACCCGGAAAGAAATGTGTAAACGCCAGAAATCAAAGAAAATAAAAATAATAATAATATCCAGTCCCATCACTATGTGTGATTGTAGAGTTTCGGAATGCCGACGTTGAGCGTCTGCGAATGATCTTGCAGTGACGTTATCAGACTATTTTCCTCTCGGCCTCTTCTTCTTTTGCCTACGGTGATACCTCGCAGGATGGCAAGTGAAAAGATTGTTGGCTCTTAGACTGTGGTCATAACATTCCAACTTCTTGACACCCAAACAAAGAATCGCTTTAATTTTCCTCAATGGTAAAATCAAAACGAACCTTCGTGGAATCTTCTGAGAAATAGATTTTCTATCGACTCTTATTATCTATTCGCTAAAATTTATTTATTCTTATTTTCCATCAATTCTTATTTATCTATTCACTAAAAGAAATCGTCCTCGCGGAGGCAATATTAGAAAACCATGTGATACAATAAAACAATTCGTGATCCGATAAAGTGAAAAATCTGCTAAATCAAATATCTGAGTACGTTTATTTTCAGGCGCAAAATTATATGAGTTCCTATCTGAAAATCGTTCCGTAAAGTTTGCCAATAATCATTACCCTGGGATGGTTTCGCTTATCGCATCAAGAACTAGCAGCTAAATATGTTCATCTGTCAAACCGCCATTTTATGATAAGGAAAAGGCGTTATCTTCTTGTAAATCTGTGGTGTTAGCAAATTTAAAAGTTCTTTATGAATAAATTCTATATTTTTATTTTGAATTTAAACATGATGGTTTGTTATTATTTCCATCATTCATTTTTAAATCCTCATCTTTTTGCCATATTCACAAGGTTTGAATGAAATTTACCCTCCGGTCTTCTTTAATATCTTTCTATATCTCTCAGAAAAAAATTATGATTACTTTTTTTATTTTTTTTTT